ACACTTGTGTTACATTTTGTCACATTACACCCTTACAACAAATGTTAGTGTCTTCTTGGTATTGTATGTGACACACCAACAAAAAGAAGGGCTGCGCTGTAAAGTGGAAGGAAAATTATGATTTTCAAAGGTTTTTCTAAATTGAAATCTGAAAAGTATAACCAGTGTTTTATATTCAGCCATTTTTACTGTTGCTGTGGTAAAAACTGTTGCGTTTCTTGAACGGGAAATCTTGTCAGAGTTGATGGGAAGATGCATGAGGCTAATTATTTTAGTGTCTTTATTGCTTTTACAGTTTTTATTATTTTCACTGTGAAGCACTTTGTGACTGCTGTCTGAGAACGGAGCTATATGAATAAGATTTACTTACTTACTACATGCCAATCATGTTAGAAGGCTGGAGCAGAGGTCTGCTGAAAGCTGCTGAAAGCCAAATCTTTGGCTTTACAAAAGCTAAAGATACAGTGGAATAGTTTATCATTCCACAGTGCTCTCCATCCACTCTTATTATACTTGAACAATATTTGTCACTCTCTAAATATGCAAAGCTGATAGCGGCGTACCGCAGAAGAGTTGTGTAATTGCATCAAGAATTACACAACTTTTTCATTCTTCAGACCGTGTGTCTGAAGAATGGATCTCAAGTTCAATAAACAAGTCTGCAGCGTTTAGCTGAAAAGTTTCTCTCAGTTACATCAGGTTGCCTGTCCTGTCAAAACATGAGATCCACGCTCGACTAAATTATTCTTATTCACTTTCTGCTATCAATCTGGCCACTCTTTCTGCTCATTCAGAATGCTTCTGCCCGTCAATTAACCAGCACACCCAAACATGAACACACGTCACCTGTTCTGTCTGTTCATTAGTTGCCTCTGTTTGCCAAAAAGTTGCTTTTAAAATCCGTCTCTCGGCTTTTAATGTGTGAAGGGTTTTGCTCCCCGTTACACCTCTGACATGCTTCAGCTTATGTTTCACCGTTTTGATGTCATTTTGGGTTTTGTTTTAGTCATTTCAGTCTTTGGTTTCGTTCTGCTTTCACTGTTTTTCATTTTTAAAATGTTTTTTTTTTTATGGCTCAGTTTCGTTCTGCTTTCAGTGTCGTGCGACACGCTGGTAAAACAAATTGTTTTTCAAATGTTCTTCATAAATAAAATGGATTTGCATTCACAACCTAACTGTAAATAAATCTAACACAATGTTTCATTTCACTTCTACTTCACAATTACGTATGACTGTGTTGACGTTTCCCGTATGATTCAAGCAAGGTACATGCAAGGGTGGGGTAGAAACATTCAGGATTTCCTAATATTTGTTATTAAAACCTAATTATTATCAAAAGTCAGGGAAAGAGAAATGATTAGTTTTACCTCTAGCTGGCTACTGTTTTTCTTTTTTCCCCAATTTAAAATCAAAGTCTGTCACCGTTATTCTCAGTGTGTGCCTTTTGACGAGGCGTCTGAATCGATGTCTGTGCTGTCCAAGTATCACCAGTAGAGGGAGACACGGCTGCATCTCTGATTTCAGCAACCACTTAAGGGTGGCATCGTTTCAGACAGACTGGAAAGTCATTTCTAAAACCCTGTTTTTGCAAATAAATGACAAGCTACTTATTGTTAGTTTGCATTGTGTGACAGTAATTGGGTAAAAAGTGTCTCCTTTCCCTTTTGTGTCCTGGCTGTGTTTGGGTCAGTGTCCACTCCATTTGTCTTGTGACTGCTGTTGTCCCCATCTGGGCTGAGCTTTGCGGTGAGACTGAACTCATGAATCATTCCTTATCAGGGTGCCTTACTGTAGGGAGGCACAGTGACTCAAACCAAGCTTTGGCTGAGTGGTCTTGAATCACCTCTGTTTACAGATTGTGTGTGTGTGTGTGGGTGTGTGTGTGTGTGTGTGGGCCAGGTCGATTGTGGAATGTAGCTGCTTTAAAAGTCAGATTTGCCGATACACATTGTGTGTGCACTAACATCTAAACCATGGCTCATTGGCTGTGGAGGCAATTAAGTTCACCCATGCAAGTCAACTCAATTATGCAACTGTGATGAGTCCTGGAGAATCACAGAGCAAGACATACGCATGGCTTCATACTCAGCCTCTTTGATTTCTGACCCTCGAGATCCTCAAATTAAATATTGCTGTTCAAGTAAATATTACAGTTTTAGTTGTTTGCTAAACACTCGCAACTTTCAATTTTGATGTCAGGACAATTGTCCAAAGTGCTCTTAATTACTAGAGCATTTCACCTCAACAGACATTTCCTTGTTCTGAGGTACCTGCACGAAGGAGGAGGGGGACATAAACAATTAACATTGAGCCAGTGGAGGCTTAACAGCATGTAAAACTATTGGAGAGGAAAGCAGCCAGGCTGTAATGGGAAAATAAATGGAGCATTCTGCTATTGCTGTCTCTGGCGCGCTGAGGTGTTTGCGCGCTCAAACACACACACGAGCCCCATTGCTCCTCCGAGGAGCTCTTCACTGAAAGGGATGCTGACTGAGCTGGAGGAGAGAAAAACAAAGGGTTCTTCCTGGGAAAATGGACGCTCCTGGCACCGGATCACAGCTGGCAGAGATGCGGCGCGCAGTGTTTCTGTGTGAGCAATACGCTAATAAGCGGCAGAAATAGAATCGTGTACTATAGCCCAGCTAGCTCATAGAGGGTTTTTTAATTAACACCAGGGCCCCCTGCATGAAAGCGGAGCTTTCGAAAGTGCTTGTCAAACGCTTTGAAGTTTGAAGCTCAATTGTTCTTTGCTTTTCTTTCCCCCCATCAGAGAGTCTAACTAAAATCAACCCGCTTTATTGTTTCGAAAGCAACTGAGGAAAAGACCATCCATCCATGATAGTGTGCAATTTGTTTAATGGGTTATGTTTAAATTTGAGTACTAAAGTCATTTTTTAGTTCAAACAGCTGTAAGAGTCTTCCGGGAAGGCTAGCTGCTTCCCTACTAGCAATGTTATTTTTATTTTGTTTTGTTTTGTTTTGTTTATTTTTTTTTACTTATGTTTACCCTAACGTAAGTATTTTTTTCCCCACAAAACCCCTGGCAGCCAGGTATGACTTGGCTGATTGATCCTCTTGTTGAAGAGGTCAACTGGAGAACAATCTTATTGGCATAGATTCCTGCAGTTAGCATTGCAGGATTTCAGAAAAAAAATAATCTCAAAATCTATTCATTCATCCATCCGTTGTCTGAACCGACTTGTCTGTCTGCTGATGCATGTGGTCACTGGTTGAATTTCAGGGTATACCATAGACAGATGACCAGCCCACGTTACAATTCATCCTTTTTCTCGATTGTCGTAAGGATGGCTAGGTCCTAGTCCAAGAGCTTTTGCATCTGTTTGACTAAAATCCCAGCCTGGCCATTACCGTCTTACACAATTTCATTCAGTTCTCATCTCCCTTCATAGCTCAGTGTGGGTTTTCTCGCAATAAGGTCGATTCCTCCATTAGAATTTCAACCGGGTCAGTCGGTGAACAGGAGATTTTGGAAACGATTGGAAAGACTTTCTGCACTGTTTTAGAATATTACTCCCCCGTGTAGTTTTAGCAATGACAGTGGAGGACGGGAACGAAACCATGAAGGCCGTGCTAGCTATGAGTACAAATATTGACTTAACATTAACACCTATCTGCTTCAGCTTGCCACTTCTCTCCTTGCTGTGTGGGATGGTTGTTTATCATCCCACACAGACACCAAGCTAACCCTAATCCTACCCTTTACCAGAAACTGTGGAGTTTCTGGTAAGCTTCATAGTGTCGAACTGGCGCATTACACGTGTCACATTCAAATGTTAGCAATTACGTAAAGTTCAGAACTTCAACAGAGTCCACACCTCCAGCAAGCAATTGCTTCTCAACAGCCAAGGGCTTAGGTCCTTAGTATGAAGTAGAACATTTTTTTAATCTTAAGTATTACTGCTTGCAATTTATGGTTACAGGTTTCTGATTATTTGCTTATCTCCTTTCAGTTGATTAGGTGGCATGAAGAAGATGTGAATCATGGAGTGAAAGGATGATTTAAAAAGCAGTTATGACTTGAAAACTTAGGAAATAAATTTTGAAGTCTTTTGACCTTTTTAATATGTCAAAGCTGCAGTTGGTGCATCTGATGAAATCTTGGCAAAACATTTCTTTCCATTATTTAAGACACGTAAGCTTTGAGCTTTTGAAGTGACTCTGCTGGTCCTATTGCAAATGTTTTGAATTGCGACGAAAAAAGAAAAGTCCCCTTTGAGTTTCGTGTCCTTCAACTTCTGTCGTTTCTCATTTATTGTTTTTCTAAGCATTTTGACCCAGGTCCGACTGGTGTCGTTGGTAAACGTAGACACGCAGGCAGTCTACCAGTCTGCCTGCGTGATGTGAGCGGTGTGGGTGGCGGATCAAGGACACGACAGCTGTTGTGCGATTACATTATGCACGTCTAATTGCACCACATTTGCCATTTACCAGATCTTTGACTGATTTATGCTTTCCATTTTGAGGAGAACAAAACTGTGAGACCTTGATTTAAAGACATCGCTTCTTTTCTGTTTGTCACAAGGGTGAGATCGCAGCAACTAGCGAACAGCGGTACCACAAACCCAGTTGTCATGTTGAGCTCTGCTCGTTTGATTATATATTCACAGCAGAAGGCTGCAGATCTGAATTGCTCATGCTCTGCCAGAAAGATATTTCCCCACAATTTAAATTCAAGGGCAGAACTCTGGGAAAAATGCCATGAATCTGAAATAATGTCTTAAATCACAAACTACCAACACATTAACCCATCTGTACAAAGAATTACTAAAATTATCCTGAGGAGGCATCTTTTTGAGCATTTTCACATCACCACCACATATAAAAAGGTTCCTAATCTAAATTCCATCACCCAATCGAAAGGGACATCATTGATTTCCGCCACTAATTCATTTGCCTTGACCTCCGTTGTCGCGTGTTGACACGCTCTTTGAACCTGCCACTGACAGCAGCGTCCTTGTCCTTGTCGTGCTTCCCTTTAGGTCGATACCTGCGCCTGAAAATGTTCCGTGAGGATCATGGCTCCTGGATGACCATGTTCTTCAGCACCATCCTCTTCCTCTTCATCTTCTCACACATCTACAACCTCTTCCTGCTGATGGCTGGAAGCATGGAGTAAGACCTTTAATCTCGTTTTTCTTTCTTTGTTTGCCCCATTCCCCCAACACCCCTCACCCATGCCCTCATTTGTTAGGACGATAAGTATGCTTCCGTTCAGGTTGTTTGATTGATTTTTAACGTCTCGCCTGAATAGAGACTCAATATTGGTCTCACTAATCAGCCCGGACTTTAAATCACTCGCGGGAATCTGACAAACTGGGCTGCTTAATCCTGAAAAAAAAAAACACCTTCAAATGAACATGCTTAATTGTTTTGAAACCTCTTTGTCTCAAAATTAAAAAAAATAAAATGAAATAAAAAATTGTTGCCTGCTGGCCCAGATTTTTACCTGCTGGGAAACTGCCATGTGCACAGCGAAGCCTGACACCCGCACATCAGGCTCATGACAGGAATCCGTTTATGCATTTGCAACGTGTCCATCCAAAGGGAAGAAAACATGCCCTTGAAGTCAGCCAGTCAGACTGAAGGTCAAAGCGAGATGATTTACTGCCTCGCTCCTTTGGGTTGCATAAAAAGCCCAGGTCCAAACATTGTGGCAGGTGTCTCTCCAGGTACAAGCTGTCAAAAAACAGCAGAGGCCAGGATTGTAACGGGATCTATCCGTACCTCTTTTTTTATTATTATTATTTCTTTCCCCATACTAACAAGAAGCCTCAGCTATTCATAAGGTACAGACAGATGAATATATATATATATATATATATATATATATATATATATATATATATATATATATATATATATATATATATATATATATATATATATAGTTTTTCTATGACCAGAGGTATGAGTTTGTATAATCAGGCCATCTGTCACTCTGGCCAGCTCAGTGACACCGGCATCCATCTCATTCTTTCTCTCTAGTTGGCCAGGAAAAAGGGAAGCGAGGGGGGCAGGTCCGCTGGGAAGATGGATGCTGCTCGCTCAGGGAAAAGTTACATTTGCAGTTGCACTTAGTGCTTCTGTCACAAAGAGGATTCCTTTTTATCTCGATACGGACTCCTATTTCAGCCGTGAAATGTCAAGGAAAATGAAAAAAAAAATATATATATATAGAAACAGACCCACTTTTAGACTGATGGTGAATTTCTTAAGAGGGTTTCATTCAGTGACACCCAGAAAACCGTTAAACATGGTGGTTACCAGTGTCTTGCAGAAATACTCATAGCTCCTGAACCTTTTCAAAGTTTGAAATGTGTTGCTATAAAAATGCAAAGCTCAACATATCTTGCTGGGCAATTGCAGAAAATGTGAGCCAGTTACTGTGCAGAACCACCTGCCTCTGCAATTACAGCTGCAAGTCTTAGAGGCTCACATTTCTCCCCATCGTTCTTTGTCAAATTGCTCAGGCACATTAAAATTGAGAGGGTCACTGAACATCGGTTTGCAACTCTTGCCATAGTTTCTCAATAGAACTAAGTCTGGCCTTTAACTGGGATACTTTAACACACCTGTGTGCTTTATCACCTTGATACTAAGGGTGTTTTAACACCTGATAGTCCAGTAGAGTCTGTCTGGTTGGGTACCAAAGTTGCAACATTTGTTACATTTTCAGCTGATGCCGTTCCCTTTCACGCTTCATTAACCAAACCCTTTAAGCAACGCATTTCCCCCCTTTTCCTGTGGTGGCGCTGTGCCACGAACCACTGACGGAAACAACATGGAAAACTCTGAAGACACTGCACACAACTTCTTTCTTCATAAAATGAAAATAAGGATGGAGAGGTGTACAATATTGCCTTTTGTTTGGTAAAAGTCCAGTAGCAATGGGAACACACATTTGTTCTGGTTGCTCCTTTTGAATGCTCAACATGTCCAGGCTTTTGGTCTATGGATTTAAAGCCACTCTGTGATTTGGTCAAAACCTGGGATATTCATCTGTAGCGTATGAGTGTGTGCGTGAATTGGTGAATGACTATGTAGTGGAAAGCGCCTTAGAGTTGATAAAGCGGTATACAAGTACAGGCCATTTGCCATTTACCAACCTAACACTCCTTCAAACTTCACCACTTTATCCTCTATTTGTCTCACATGTTCCTTGGTCTTTTATCTTTTATTTTATGATTCTTGTGCCACATAAAATGGCAATAAAATATTCAGGCTTGTGATTGTAATGTGGCAAGATGTGAATACTTCTGCATGGTACTGTTCTTGAACACTTTCAAAGGCAAACAATCTAATTTATAATATTATGTCATGCATGTTTTGCATGATCCAATTGCATTTTCTGTCACAGATGGCAACTCATAGCAAGAACCAACTATTGAACGTAAAGTGACAAGGCACCAAGAGCAGCAGCACCCGTGTAGCTCTCTTTGCAAAGACAGATGGCGCTGTTGTAAAGCAAGAGGACCCGCTACCATCGAGAGCAGCAGGCTCGTCTCTGCAATGTGCTCTCACCCACACCTCCCTCCACCTCCTGTTCCCCTCTTTCCCCTCTCCGCTCGTCCTCGCTCCGCTCCAGCAGATTGTCCGTCGAGGACTCGGACCCTGCCAAAAGCCATTAGCGCTCACATCTCTGTTCAGGACTGACACGTAAGAGCAGCATCCACCCTCTGCCAGGACACTGCCTGTGGAAAAAACTGGCTCTAAGCTGCAGCAGCATTAATGCAGCAGAGTGAGCTAAAAGGTGATGGAGGAAGGGAAGGAGGGGTGGGGAGCAAGGGCTCCAGCTCTGATGATGCGGTGAAACTTAAGTCTTTTGATCTGTGTCCAAACCCTATTTGCATCCCTCTCCTCTCTTGTCCAGCCGGCTTCTGCCGCACCCCAAGGCGAAACCATTGTAGTTTTTGTCACAGCCAAAAGAAAAAGTATAATATCCCTTTGTTGTTGCAGCAGTGCCTCTATGGGAATTAGTGCTGCTTGGGCTCATTGATCTATCTATTGTGGAGTATTTATTTATTTTAGCCACCAATGGTTGGTATTTTGACGTGAGTTTCAAGTTCTGACATCAATCTGTGATGCCACACTGCAAGAGGGATGATGTCCCGGTGGCTACACACACATTCTCCTCAACACACACATACTGTTCCTGTTTTGCACTTTCTTCAAGTTGCAGGATTATGTTTATGTGTAGGTGGCAAGATGGAGTAGGATGGATTGGGTTTGTGTCTGTAACCCCTCTGTCTCCCAGGCTTGATGCTGCCTACCCAGCGGCCACCCTGCACTCATTAATATGCTTTCATTTTCTCTGACCTTTCATTTGGACTTGAGCTTGATTTAATTAAACCCAGAGATACATGCACAAAGAAAAGACGATAAACCATGACGGCACCGGGGCAGCAAACAATCACCGATAAGAGATTGTGTATCTTTTTGGATGACAAGTATTTATTCCTGCTTAGCGATGTAAAAAGGATTCATCAGGGGCTGTTATCACTCAGCACAAAGAGATTTTCAGCTTGTGTAATTATACACACGTAGGGCCAATATTTGCACAGCCACTTCTAGGTCAACACCAAGTACCTGTTCCTTGGCTTATGCAATAGCGGATTGTGGGAGTGGAAAAGACGTCCGATCTCAGTGACGGCCTGGGAACTGTAATCCGCACTTGTTACCAAATCCTCACATCTGGACTATTTGCATTTTAATGCAACTGTCAGATTAGTAGGCTGCTGTTTGTGTGAAACCGCAGGAGTGTGACCGCCCAGGGAGTTCGACGGGGCTTCATGAATGTTCCGTCACACCACTTGATCCCATTCCGCTGCCTTACGGCACCATTGCCAGCCAAAATCAGCCCCTAATTAGGTGGTGTTATTTAATTAAGATGGCCCTGTGTGTGGCGCATACATTAATCAAGGCTAATTTGGAGGAAAAGAGGACGTAAAGTGTGTGAACGTAAAGGGAGAGAGGGGAGTTGGGAAGTTTGAGTGGATCGAATGAAGACTTGGGAGGAGGGCGATTCAAGTGATGTTCTGTTTAAATGTTATGAACAAGAGATGACTCTGTTGTAGGTTGAAAGTATGCATCCAGCTCATGTGACAAAACAGAACCTGACACTCGGTGATCAGGAACAGGACAAGATATCCTCAATATCTTGGAACAAACTAGGAATCCCAATAAATAATTCACCAATCATGAACTCCATTTAAAGAAACGACAAACAGAACTGAAATTGTATGTAAAAGTCTCATATAAGGAATAAGGCTTCTGTTTAGTGGTTATAACTTTTCAGCAGACCCTCTCTTCAAACATCCCAAACTATACTTAAAGCTGTTTGATTCTTATTCGTGCGATTAATTGCCACAATGCAGATCTGTCGGCATGGGAGGGAAGAGCTGTAAGCTGAACGATGGATCGTGAGCCGCAGAGAGTGGAAGCGTTTAATGAGGAGCAGAGAATGTTGGATGTGGCATTTTGACTGCAGTGCTCGCCTGAGCGGGATTAGACCCCACTGTATAAGTGTATTTGTCTTTGTTTGGATGATCCTTTGTGCTGCATGTGTGCCAGTCCCTCCTCGTCTGTCTGTTTGCTTGTCTGGCGCTAAGCTGGGCTAATGCCGTGGACAAAGGGCTAAATAAATAGCATGTTGCGGTATTCACATGCCTCCTGTTGCACTGCTCCCTACACAAGGGACGTGCTTCAAGCAGTGATTCCTGTGAGCTGCCCTTTATTTTTATTTTTTTTGTGTGTTTGTGTGAAATGAAATAACACGCTGTTAGCTTAGAAACGTGGCGGATTTGCGTTATTTTTGCTGTGCTGTTTCTATCTTCTCGTAAACAAGCTGTCATATTGGTTAGAATCTTTGCTTGGATCCGTTTTCGTGTACTTTTACACAAATTGCTAAACCACTTGAAAGTCCACGATGGCTTTGTATGTTTTTATTTTTTTTATTTTATTATTTAGTGTTAGTTTCACCATATGTTCTAAAAAAAAAGAAACATTTATTCTGTAGGTGAATGTATGTTTTTTAATGTTTGTGTTCATGCAACAACCTCAAGGGCCTACAGAGCCACAATCACAACAAAGAGCTGGCTGGCTTGTTCTATTTC